TATCAGCACTACAATTCAATATATTATGAATAATAATGATAATTTTTATATTTGCTCTGGAGGGCTAAGTTTTTTTTTTTTAATCATTCCTCCATTTTTGTGGGAACACCAATAGAAGGCAATCTCTTGCTGTCTCTGTAACAAAGAAACTAATTGCTAAAGCTGTTCATATAAATGAAAGGCTCTTTATCAAGTATGCACTTCGATTGTGATTTGGTTTTGTTGCCATAGCATGGTCACTATCAGCTTGGGTCATAAAGCCTTTGGATAACTGGTAGACAGTCATCACCACCAATCTGGGCTATGTTTTAATTGTCAGTTCAGGCCTAGAGAGCACTGACTTGCTCTCCATCTGCCAGCAGATCTCCTTAGGCATGAAACTATCACTGCTATTGGAATACATAATTTCTCATGCAAAAATATTAGAAGCATACCAAAGAGGCATGAAATAAAGTGACTTTTATTTTAAGTGAGATAAGGGACATTGAATGGAAACAGGGAGGAAAGGTCAAAAACAGTAGGGTTTCTTGTTTACAGGCAAAACAGTTCAGAGCTACTTCACACTGGAGAGTGCTCTTGGAATTGGATGAGAAGAGACAAGAGCTAGGAATAGACTCTCAGGCCTGCAAACAAACATTTTCTGGAGAGATTTATTCTTCCATTTGTGCCGTAGAAAAGTGAAGGGAACGTGGCAGAATGTGTACTATCAGTTGGTTTCCTCCATAGCTGAATCCCACATCATTAAGGGCCTTGGAAATACAACAGCATTTTATATTGGCTGCTAAGTTGTACTCATAGCCAGCACAGGGAACAAAGGTTTTGGGTAAATGTGTTCTTGGCGGCATATGCTGCCTTGTAAGAAGGTTGATGTTTTCCACACCAGATAAAAATTCTCTGTGGCCACCTGTGCCATATGCCATTACCAATCCCCTCAGCTCTAGGACCCCTTTAGCCAGTACAAAAGACCTCTTTACTATCATTGGAATTCAAAAGACTTGAAAGGCCTCCAGGAGGCACTATAGAGAAACTGCAGTTAGAATTAAATACCTTTTAGTTGAGGAGAACCAGTTTCACACTGGTCTCTGAACTTGGAAATCTTAGCATTTTCCCCCCGGGAGATAGGGTATTGAAATCAGATTGCTGAAGCTGTGTTACATGAATGAGAGCTTGAAAAAAGATTAAAGAAGTTTAAGGCAAAGTTCAGATATATCTTTACTATCTTCCTCAGCACATTGACACAAAGGATTAAATACAGTTTAACAGAAAAGTGGAAAAATGATTTTAATAGAATATGGTCAGAATTTGGGAACTCAAGGATTGTTATCTGTATTCCTGAAAGTAGAATATTTTCACATAAAATTGAGAAGTCATTGAAGTTGTATTCTTCTGTAATGACATACAGAAAAATCCCTATTTATTTTGACCTGAGAAGAGTTAGGAAAAAAAAAAAATCTCTCCTAGGAACCAATATCTTACTTCATTTTCTTCTTGAGTCACAATCACACCTGATTTACTGTTAACATCTACTGGTGGCTGAGGTTGTTGCACAGCCCTGAGCTGTGCTTAAAGTATCTTTTATAATAACCGCAGACTTAATAAAATAAATATTCCTAAATGATATTAGTATAACTGGGTTGAAAAAAAATCCAAACTGTTGAAGATAAAACCCTTAATATCTAATGCATGTGTGATTGAGAATTTAAATGAATTTGCTTTCCTGGTACTTACTATTAAAAATTAAATTAAGACCAAGATGACACTTTAAGACATTGTACTTTGACGGTACTTGGTAGAGGGAAAAAAGGTCCCCCAAGTGCCTAACTTGAAGAGCCCCATGAGATTCTGAGAAATATACTTTTTGAATACTTCAACTTATAGTGTCTTTTCAGTACTCAATTAGCATAATTTGACACAATTATAGGTATAAACATTTTATAGGCACTTGGTAGGAGTGTCAAAAAAGTGTTGATTTCCATCCACTTATATTGGCAACACTCACCTAGTTCTAGCATGACACTTGAATGAGCAGTGAAATATGCTCCCTACTATTAATAAAATTCAAAGCATATTTCATCTTGACACCACATCACAAGTTTGACACTGCGGTTCCTCTCTGTGGAATTTTGAGTCATGGAGACATCCCCTTGCTACATCCCCATCTCAACTAGATGATAATTTGATTCAGACTATTTCAATACATGCCAATATGTATATCTCCCATGCAAAATGGAGGCATGCCCACAGAGAAAAGAAGGTATAACTGACAGGTCAACATCATTTTTGTGAAGTTGTACCTTAGTGGTTTAAAAAAAATATTTAAGTATGACTTTTACCAATTCTCCTTTTCTCACGCTTTATCAACAGGACTTTCCAGAATATGAAGTTGCATGAAACAAATAAATTATTCTTAAATGTCTTAATAAAATTCTATTTTTTAATGGATTGCTTTTTAAAACTTCAATCATGGAAGAGATAAGATAAGCAACTGTAAAGCATTTCCAAATCCAGCAGCATGAGGATTTATTGACATTGGCAACTTTGTACAAGTGTTTGGTTTGAGTTGCCGTTTTCTAAACAGTCAGACCTTTGTGTGTATGTGTATTACCAAAATGCTGGAAGAGGAAAAAAAAATGAATGTTAAGTATAAGAAATATGGAAAAAGAGGGTAAAAATGATGAGTTATGCACTCTTTCAGCTCTGTTTTCCTTCATGGTTAATCATTTCAGGTTTCCCAGGATTGAGATGAAGTCCATTTGTTTTGGCACCATTTTCCTTGTGATTTAGCAGCTCTGATTAAAATTTATGGCTAATAAAAATAATCTGATTCATCTTAATACTATTGAAAATAGAAAAGAAGCTCCATCTCAGTTAATAGTATTTTTGGTCCACATAATTTAACTATAATAGTCACTCTAATTTTTCAATGGTTTTTAATATTTGTAATTATTTTTAGAAATTGGGTTTTAGAGACACATTCTCTCATTTCTTCCATAAAATCAAATTTTGCCAGAATGAGGGAATTTTTTTCTTTAATTCAAATTTACATTTCTTAGTCTGATATTAAGAATGAAAACATCTTAGGGATTGTTTTTATTTAGTCCTTTATTTTTATTTCATTAAAAAAATTTTTTTAATGTTTTATTTATTTTTGAGACAGAGAGAGACAGAGCATGAGCAGGGGAGGGGCAGAGAGAGAGGGAGGAACAGAATCCAAAGCAGGCTCCAGGCTCCGAGCTGTTAGCACAGAGCCCGACGCGGGGCTCAAACTCACAAACCGCGAGATCATGACCTGAGCCAAAGTTGGACACTCAACCGACTGAGCCACCCAGGCGCCCCTCTTTTTATTTTATTTTTTAAAATGTTTATTTATTTTTGAGAGAGACAGAGCGTGAGCGGGGGAGGGGCAGAGAGAGAGGGAGACACAGAATCTGAAGAAGGCTCCAGGCTCTGAGCCATCAGCACAGAGCCCAATGTGGGGCTTGAACTCATGAACTATGAGATCATGACCTGAGCTGAAGTCGGATGCTTAACTGACAAAGCCACCCATGTGCCCCATGGTCCTTTAAAAGTAAGAAAAGTGAAATACTGTGACTGTTTCCTCATATCTATACAGTAATATATAGTTTTTGAAGTACTTTGATCTGTTATCTCAGTTGATATTCACAGTAATACATGTAAGGAGGGTAGTTCTCAGAGTATGTGAAATTATTTTTCAATAATTGGAAATTGAAATGTACTCTTGGAATTCTGACCATATTATTGAGCTATATCACATATTTTATGTACCTCTTAAGGTCAGAACAATTATTATCCCTACTTGAAAGATGAAAAAACTGAGGCCTGGGTTAGTTAAAGTAAGTTGATCAAGGTCAGGAGATAGTGAGTGTCAGAGTTTGAATTTGAACTCAAGTCTCTCCGATTCCAGAGTTCAAGATTCCAACCTCCACTGCAAACTGTTTCTGAGAGAAGCTTACCCAATTCTTTCCTTAAAAACAAACAAACAAACAAACAAACAAACAAACAACCCGGATTTTTTTTAGAGAAGTTTTAGGTTTACAATAAAATTGAGAGAAAGGTACAGTAATTTCCCATGTATCTCCTGCCCCTACACATGCGTGACCACCCCTGTTGTCAACATACTCACTAGAATTTTTTACCAAGGACGCACCTGCATTGACATATCATAATCACCCAAAGTCCACAATTTGCCTTAGGGTTCACTCTTGTTGTACACTTTATGGGTTCGGGCTAATGTATAACGACATGTGTATCTCATTATAGCATCATACAGAGTATTTTCACTTCCCTAAAAAACCTCTGTACTCTTCCACCCTCCCACTGACCTCCAGGAACCACTGACCTTCTTATTGTCTTCATAGTTTTGTCTTTTTTAGAATGTCATACAGTTAGAATTATATAGTATGTATCCTTCTCAGAATGGCGGCTTTTACATAGTAAAATGCATTTAAGTTTCCTCTATGTCTTTTCATGGCTTGAGAGCTTTTTTCTTTTTTAGTGCTGATTATTATCTGGATGAACCACAGTTTATTCGTTACTCCACTGAAGGACATCTTGGTTGCTTCCAGGTTTTGGCAATTATGAATAAAATTGCTATAAACATACGTGTGCAGGTGTGTGTGTGTGTGTATATATGTGTGTGTGTGTACATACATTTTAAACTCCTTTGGGTAAATACTGAGGAGAATGATTGCTGGATTGTAAGAGTATGATTTGATTTTTTTTTTTTTAACGTTTATTTTTGAGACAGAGATAGAGCATGAACGGGGGAGGAGCAGAAAGAGAGGGAGACACAGAATCCGAGGCACAGGCCCTGAGCTGTCAGCACAGAGCCCGACGCGGGGCTCAAACTCACGGACCACGAGGTCATGACCTGAGCTGAAGTCGGTGCTTAACTGACTGAGCCACCCAGGCGCCCCTTGATTTGTTTTTTTAAGAAACCACCAAACTGTCTTACAAAGTGACTACTGTTTTGCATTCCCACCAGTAACAAATGAGAGTTCCTGCTATTCCACATCTTCACCAGTATTTGCTGTTGTCGGTGTTCTAGATTTTGGTCACTCTAATAGGTATGTAACTCTATATTTATTATTATTATTATTTTTTAAGATAAACTGAGTCCTAGACAGGCAGTTTTTGAGACCAAAATTTTCAGCCATTTAGTAGAAAAATTAGAGTTCAGGCCTTGATGTTAGATATCTGATGGTACTGAATTTCTGTGGTTATACTGTCTCTCAGTTGTACAGCTTTATACATGGATCACTGCCTGGGTGAAGTAGTTACTTAACTCAAATATGTTTGATAATTAATGGCAACTAGAGGTGATTTCTTACCTGTGCTTCATGAATGAGATATTTCAGAGCTGACAGTAGTATAGATTTATTCTCCAGCTCAGATGAGATTGGAACTTGCCGTGATCACTCAGCTGTATGGATCAAATCATACTTTCTAAATGCCATTCCCCCTTAATGTGCTATCCTTTACCGACACTGATCAATGGACTTCTGGTTATAAGAATAGGATTGGAAGTGGTTTCTTTGATTTCTCTTCATGATTTCAAAAGCATTAAAGGATACTACTCCTTTTGTGGGCCCCTGGGCTAAGGGTGAGGAGATGGTACATGTTATACTAGCCAGCCAAGGCCAATCCTGACCTTTTCTTTGCTCTTCCTTGAATGAGATTTTGAAATAGAGATAAAGTGGGAAGGACAAACCGTAGAACAATATAGCTTTTAACATCTGTGACACACTTTGGGAAGATCACAGGGGAGCTAATGCTGAGGGAGGAATAGCAACATTTTTTTTTTTTTTTTTTTTTTTTTTTTTAAGAATCAAAGATGGTAAATGTAGAGAATGAAGGAAAGGAGGATGGTACAATGGGAAGAGATGCCAGCATGATCACATAATTCACTGAGGGACTTCTTATAATTAAATGAGATGATCTTTTCCCATTTCCAAGTCTTTTTGTTTTGTTCTTCTCTGAAAAAAGGTATGTGAGTACAAAACTGGTGTTGGAGTATTAGTCACCTCATAATGAGCCCCATTCCCAAATGGAATAAGATGACTTTTGCAACTGAAAAAGTTTGTATCAATGACTTTAAAACAGATGGTGGACAAGAATTACAGAGTGCTAGTGGTTCTTAACTATTGATTGACTGATTGGATCCCTTTTGAAATTGTGATAAAAGCATGGGATTTTTCCCTATGAAAATCAACATATACTCATGCCCCAATTTAACATATCATCTTAGGTTTATAGGCTCCCTAAAGGTGATCTCTGAACTCCTGTTAAAGAACCCTTGGTTTTGATAGTCATACCAGACTTCATGAGGAGAGCAAGAGAAAGTGTGAGAGGATGAGTAAATTTTAGACAGGTAACAGATTAAATGTGAGGTATGTAGAAAGTGCTCAATAATATTGGTGGAATAGAATGGATGATTGAGCTGAGAGCATTTTCCCTCTGGCTCTTAGCCTCTCTACCTCTTTACTGTTCCACTACTTAAAGATTCAGTCACCTTGGTAAAGATTTGTGCTCTTCCCCAACCCTTTCTTCCTTTTCTTTCCTTATTCACCTCTAAAGATTGAAACTCTGCTAGGAACTAGCAGTCAGACTGGAAATGCCTTGGAGCCTAATAGCTACTTATATCAGCTGTGGCAGTAAAATGGTTATAGCAACCCAAGTTTCTAGGAAACGTGTATGCAGCTTTAACTGAACAGCCCATCTTTTAGGCCAGTGCTTCTCCACCTTTAATGTGCATGTGTCTCCCTAGGGCTCTTGGTAAAGTGAAGGTTCTGGTTCTGTAGGTTTGGGGTGAGTTGGGGTCTGCATTTCTAACAAGCTCCCAGATGATGCTGTTGCTGTTGCTGTTGCTGCTCCATGGACCACACTGTGAACAACAGAGCTGTGGTCTTTCTAGGAAGCTAGCAGAACTATTCTTGTCATTGTGGCTTGTGTGTGTGTGCGTGTGTCAAATAATCTAAGTTTACTCCCCCAGAAAATGCTAATTGCCTACTGTGGCCCAATAAAAGGAGATTTTGAGCCAAGAAAGGAAGTAGAGAATTATTTAATTTTTGAAAAATCTAAATTTTTCAGATCATTGAAAATCTATTATTTGACCTAATTAAATGGAAGCTGATATTTGTGTAACAACATCTCCTGTGACACAGTCTGGGGATTAAGTACAGTAGAAATACCTGTCCACTCTCCCCAGGAACATCAGCTAGAAAAACCAGAAGATGCTTACTCTACTCGCATAATGATACATCATTTGCAGATACATAGTTGTGCATAAAGGCTTAGTAAATTTTATAATGAAATGGAATCTGTTTCCTCATATTCATTTTAAGGGGTAAAATACAAAAAAATTACTATATTTGTTTGGTTCCAATGCACTTTTTTTGTTTTTGTTTGTTTGTTTGTTTTTGCATTTTAACATAGTTTGAATTAGGATGTGTGTTATACTTAATGGAGTTTTACAATTGCTGTTGACCAAGTGGCACTTGTAAGGAAGGTGTCACTGGGTATGCATGTGCAAGCTTAATTGTTATTCTCTGTGCCACGGCTGGACACTGGCAACCTCTTGACATTTTAGTCGAAAACCATCAGGCCTATTAGAGGAAGGAATATGAGCGCAGAATGGGAGTTAGCAGCTTGAAAGAAGAGGCTGGGGACAATTTAAGAAATGCTGCATCACCAATGCTCCTGACAGCATACAGGTTGATATCATGTAACATGATATCTATGGCTCTGAGATGAACTATACCTCAGGAAAGTTGGATTCTACATGTACAGAAGTTTTTAAGCTGTTAAAATATATTTTGCTTGTATTTTTATTTTAACCTATGAACAAGATAATACATGATAAAAATCCATATGTAAATGAGTCTGAAAGAACTCCTTCACAAAGTATGAAATAAAAACCGTAAGTAGTAAGAAAGCATTGTGTCCTAATTTGGTTGCCAACATTTGTTTGATTTCCTAGTGGTACATCTTACAGTTAATGGCAACTTGATATGATGAATGCTGCAGTTTAAAAATTACATATTGGAGAAATAAAGTTATCCCAAGTCATAAAATTATAGAGTCAAAGGTAAATTCAAGAAATTAACTAGTGAGTGTCTAAATCAACCAGGACACATGAGGTTCAAGGACAGAGTGCAGAATAGTGGATGTTCTTATGAATTAGAAAATCTAAGCAGTAGATATGGCTTTGATACTGAGCAGCTGTGACCATGGGCAAATCACTTCAATTCTCTGGATCTCTGTTTCCTAACCTATAAAATGAAGAGTTTGTCTTAAATAATCTCCAGTGTACCTTTAAGATCTTGGATTCTGCATATTCAAAACAAAAATGTGGTGGATAAAAGATTAGGTTTACCCATTATCTCTTGTGTTATCCCCTTTATCACAATGGAATTTTGCCTGATGATCTTCCTTATATTTTAGTTGAAATTGAATCAGGGTTCATTTTAGCAGAACTCTGTTCAGCTTTTATGAGGTAGGGGGAATAACTAACTGGTCAGCCTCTTCTTGACAATTCTATGCATACTTGAAAAACTGTTATGAATAGATACCATGGATTTATCTTTCACAAAGAAAGTAATCTTAAGTTCTTTTCAAAAAGAATAAACTTCTTAAATAGTTAATAAATTGTTAAATTCTATTAACAATTTCTCTTGTATCCGCTTACCATTTGTTTTTGTTTGTTTGCTATCCTGCAACCAGTTCTTTCTGAATAGTGCCTTAATTTCTTTCAGAAGAATGACCTCTCTCTAGTCTGCAAGGGCTGTGATTAAGGGTCTCTGCACATATGTATATGTATATTCTGCATATATATATATATATATATATATATATTCTGCATATATATATATATTCTGCATATATATATATATGTATATATATATATATATATTTGTTGTTGTTGTTGTTGGAGCGGGGGTACTCTGAATCTAGAGCTGAGTGTTACAAAAATGTAAAAGATAGTCATAGTTCACTGTCAAGCTGTCGTGCAGCCTCCATGCCCAAAGCTGACTGGTTGCTGATTGGATGTGAGGCTGACTCTAGACCTGGACTCAAAGTCTCTTTGCTCTTTTGAGCTCCCCAAGATTGCTCCAAGCAATTCTCTTTCTAGATTAACCAGAATGGGTTTCTGATGCTTACAATGAAGGAAGCCTAACAAATAGAGACAGAATTTGTGCGGGGCGCTCCAGGACGCCAGTGATCACCAGCTTCCCAGTGTCTTGGTGAATAAACTGGAGACGATGGAGGTACAGGATTCTGGTGTCTCACACACTCTACATGAAAAGGATTCAAACTTCTTGACTGGTGTCAAATATATATATATATAGTGTAAAATACCTCTACATACTGTTTTTACTTTTCCTTTAGATTGCCCAAAGCCTTTCAATCTTTATGATGGGCCTTAGTTTTGACACAAATTATATCTCCAAATAGAATTTTGAAATGCACTTTTCACACCTATCCTTCTGTCTGTAATTAAAGGTAATCGTGTCCCTTTCTTTATTGGTCGCCGAAAGTAGTATACAAAATATTCAAGAAGGAAGGCCATTAAAAGTCTGTATTATTCTATTTGAATATATTTTCACAGAAGAAGAGAAAACAAACTATGAATTGCTAAATTCTACACCTGAAACTAATATTACACTGTATGTTAACTAACTGAAATTTATTTATTTATTTAAAAAAAATTTTTTTTTCAACGTTTATTTATTTTTGGGACAGAGAGAGACAGAGCATGAATGGGGGAGGGGCAGAGAGAGAGGGAGACACAGAATCGGAAACAGGCTCCAGGCTCTGAGCCATCAGCCCAGAGCCCGACGCGGGGCTCGAACTCACGGATCGCGAGATCATGACCTGGCTGAAGTCGGACGCTTAACCGACTGCGCCACCCAGGCGCCCCAGCTAACTGAAATTTAAATAAAGGTTTGGGGAAAGAGAAAAGAAGAAGAGAAAACAAATTGATTTGTTTTTCTTTTTGTGCCATGGTGGTTCCATTTATTAGTTATAACATTTGTAAAATCTTTCACAGTCCAAACTGCTGTTCTTTTCTTTTGGAAATCCATCAACCTGCCTCTACCCCTCCAGATACTGGAAACATTGACTATTTAACTGAAAGGAAATACAGAGGGAAAAGACAAAACACTTATAAAGAAAGCAACTCATGGGGAGCCTGGGTGGCTCAGTCAGTTGAGCGTCCGACTTCAGATCAGGTCATGATCTCACAGTTTTTGGGTTTGAGTCCCATGTCAGGCTCTGTGCTGACGGCTTAGAGCCTAGAGCCTGCTTCAGATTCTGTGTCTCCCTCTCTCTCTGCTCCTCCCCCACTCATAACTCTCTGTCTCAAAAATAAACATTAAAAAATAATAATAAAGTAACTCATGACTCTCTGAGTTACTTCTTTTGGAAATATAAACTCTGGAGGATTGAAAATGCCTTTCATGTTTCCCTCCCTTCATACCCTGCCATTTCCAAATAGTTTTCTCTTCTGCCATCTGAGATTCACTGGAAACATTCCTGTGTATGTTTAGGGTACCAGTTAATAGTTTGAGCTCTAGAATTGCATTTCTTGAGTGTTAATACTAGATACACTTATGATGTGACCTTGGGAAAATTAATCAATGTCTCAAAACTTAAATTTCTCTATCTGTAAAATAGGGTTAACCAGAATACACCCCCCCCCCCCATTATTGTAAAGCTCATATGAGGTAACTGATACAACACACTTGGCAGAGGGCCTGGTACCATATTAGACCCTTGATGCTTGTTATTTGTTATGATTATGTGTGTGTGTGTGTGTGTGTGTGTGTGTGTGTGTATATTAGATATTTATATATATATATATATATATATATATATATATATATATATGGCAATGGACAGATGCAAATACATAATGAAGGCAGGGTTTTGAATGGATCTGATGGTATGGTGTGTGGTAGATTGCAGAGGGAGAGAGAGAGGCAACAAGACTAGTGGGCTACTTTTACAGTAAATCTGATGTGATGTTCAAAGGGCCAGATATGGTGGGTGGGAAGTAATGATACAAAAAGAGGGACAAATGAAATGAAGAAAGGAAGAGGTTTATTGATGATCAGCTGAGGATATCGAAAGGAAAAAGCATTTCTGGGTGATTGACTCAGGAAGGTATGGGGAAGTCAAGAAGGGGAATAGGTTTAGGAAGAAAGGGAAACATTTTGTTGAGTGAAGGAGAGGCATCCATATACAAGTATTCAGCCAAGACGAGGGAAGTCAGGTTGAAGCTTGTGAAGGGCTGAGCTGAAATCCTTGGTAAGTCTTTTGTATGAATAAACAGGATATATTATCTTTTTCTTTCCTGTGGGATATATCAGAAAGTTGTAGCAGAGTAGTGGCTTTTGAAAAGCACATAGTGTTATGGAACCTCAGTTTCCTCTTCTATAAACCTGATGTTGAATGATCCCTATGGGACACCTCGCAATGGAAATTGATATGCAAAGAGTGAATTTATGGATCAGCTGTGTGAGAATTATAACATAAAAGTATATGTCATATTACACTTCACCCAACTTGTTTTTGAATTTTAAGTTTGAATGTTCTAGATGTTTAAGATGTTTAAGGTACTATTGAAAAAGTAGCACGTTCAAAAGGCAGAGAACCTATCTTCTCCCTTATTTTACAGTGCTCCCAGATCCGAAACAGGGCACATAGATATAAAAAGAAGTTGACAAACAATAAATGCATAGTCCAACAGCCTAATGGTTTTATATGACATATATAATAATACAGAAAACAGGATTAACTTCAAAGGAAATATATACAAGGGGATTATTGTCTGTACCAGAAATAGAAGCCATAAGTGTAAAAATATATATGCATGAAAATTTTACAATTTATATATGTGTGTGTAAACCACCCTCAGTGAAATACAGTGTGATGATTAAGCATGTAAATTTGGATTGCAAACACAGACTCCAATTGTGCTCACCTAATCATCCATTATGTGCACAACTTACTGATTTGCACGCTCAACTAGACAGGATCAAATATTATCTGTATGTCACTTAAATGTCCGTGGTTTGTAAATTTAGAGTTGTTCAAAATAAAAAGGTTCACTTCTTTTACTAGCATACCACTTTACCCTGTGTACATTTTTTTTAAAGTTTATTCATTTATTTTTAGAGAAAGGGGCAGAGAGGCAGAAGATAGAGGGAGAGAGAGAGAGAGAATCCCAAGAAGGTTCTACACTGCTAGCACAGAGCCCAGTGCAGAGCTCGAATCATGAACCATGAGATCATGACTTGAGCCAAAACCAAGAGCTGGATGCTTAACTGATTGAGCCACCCAGATGGTCCTACCCTGCATACATTTTAATGCAACAAAGTGTCTACAGATTATTTCTTTCAAGCTTCTTTTGCCTTTAATTCTGTAGAACTAAATTTGTTACTTTTGTGACTTACTAAAAAGAAAATTTATTTCAATCATGGGTATGCTGATCATATTAAACTACTGTATCTCTCTTTGTTTCACAGGCTATGGAGTTTGGAGTAGCCTTTGAACTCAGCTATATTTTAGTGGTATCCTTCATTTTGTGATAGCTTACTTTGTGGAATTTTATCTCTCTGTAGTGGGGCATTTGAATAGTTGTATGTTAAAGATTATATTTGAAATTTATACTTCTTGCCCGATTTTCATCATCAAATATTTACTTTGGTATTTATATTATTGGTTATGAGGTCCCATAGAGCTGAGTGCATGGTTCTTGGCAGAAAATTTTGGTTGAAGAGATGTGTGCCGGAATGGATTTATGATTACTTGTAAAGATAAATAGAAAAAAATCTGGAAACGGATATAAATTACAGTGTTCTCTTTAGACATTAATACAAGAACTCTCCTTTGTCTTTTGTTGTACCCACCTGATATATTTCTTTGGCATTAATTATTCCTACCCCAAGTAGATGTTGGCAACATAGTGGTCAAGAGCTCAGTCCTTTGGGTTCAGATATGCTAATCACTAGCTAGATTTCATAATCTGTGTAAGCTGCAGATTTTTAATAAAAAAAAAAACAACTTTTAATACCTTGCTGGGTGTCTAGAGTTGATGATATAATGCATATGAAGCTCTTGGACATAGCAAACATGTACTTGTTATTTTAGGGGTTGCCATTGTATATGTCAGTGCTTCATCAGAATTTTCATGGCTCAGCCAAATGGTACCTTTAAAAATTTTTTTTAATGTTTATTTATATTTGACAGAGAGACAGAGCAGAGGGGCAGAGGGGCAGAGAGAGAGGGAGACATAGAATCCGAAGCAGGCTCTAGGATCTGAGCTGTCAGCACAGAGCCTGATGCAGGTCTTGAACACACAAACCGTGAGATCATGACCTGAGCCAAAGTCAGATGCTTAACTGACTGAGCCACTCAATTGCCCCCAAATGGTACCTTTTTAATTAAAGGCACACCTCTTAATGGTTCTCTTTTCATAGTTACTAAAATGTTTCCAAAAATCTTAGAAATATTTATTTTCAGAATACTCATGCACACACATATGAAAAAAATTAATACTACTGGGGAGCCTTGATGTGGCACTACTGGTCCATTCTCTTAGAAATATCTGTCAGGTGCTTTTCATGAAATACATATTTTAAATCTTACAATAATCTGCAAGGTAGATGTTATTAGTATTCCCATTTTATTGATGAGAAAAGGAAGCCTTATTGAGGTCAAATATCTTTCCCAATGTCAGAGAGGTAAAAATTGTGCATTCTGGCATGTATCCATTGTACAAAGTCTGGGATTTTGTGTGTGTGTGTGTGTGTGTGTGTGTGCTTTTTTAGTTGCCTTAAAGAAAAAATCACAGCCAGTTTTGAATTAAAAAATACCAGGAGTGACAACTATGCACTCCTAACTTCTGACAACTCTATGTTAAGCATGTTTATTGATCCAAAATATTTGAATGCAAGTCAGATGACGTACATGTGAAAACAATCCTTCATCAATTTTGAGAATATAAACATTCCTCTGAAGAGGGGGAGGGGAAACTACATTTTCAAAATTTAACTACTTCCTTTAAGGCATACTGGAATTTTCTTCCTTGGTTTCTTTTGCTCACTCACTAAAATGTTACTAGGTTGAATATCATTCAAATAAATAAACAAACCTATTTCTTTCCATTAACTTGCCAACATGTAAAAAGGCTAGGAGACTTATTTACTTTCAGGAATCAATTTAGGGGCAATTCTTCTTGATCTACTGCAACTTTTGATTCTTCTAGTTTCTCTAACTGTAAAGCCAATAATGTCTGTTTTGTTTTCCTGGCCTTCAAATTCCTTTGCAGTCACCTTCAGTGACATGAACTGGAGATATTTCTACTATTTGTTTGTGTTAGCAAAAATATTATTCATGAAAAGGAAAAGTAGAAGATATAATAACAAGAAATCGTTCAATTTTCATTAGATTCTGCTCTGTATGACATGTGGAAAAATGGAGAAAATATAGAAAAGTCAATAGTAAAGGCTTTCAAGGTAAGTTTGATTATTCAAAGAGAAGTAGTGAATATATATATAAAATCAGAGAATTATATGGGAAGAGCAAGCAAGAGAGAGCAAGAGATTAAGACTGAGAGAGAGAAAAGGAAGGAGAAAAAAGATAAAATAAAGAACTATGTCCTAGAAACTGAACTTTATTTGTAGAAGAGCCCCTACCTTTATTACTCATTTATATGCTGGAACACTGTGGCAAAAAACTCTGAATGCGCTTGCACATGGACTGCTTCAGCAATATAATATCATATAGCTATTTCATTTGATGTGTGAGTTAAAAAAAATCTTATGCATTTGAATAATCTTTTTGCAGCCATACCACAGATGTTATAAGACTCACTCAAAAGATGGCATCTTTTAAAATTTGAAAACATCAACTCTGCCAATTTACTCATTACTATTAACAAGATAAAATCATAGCAATATCTAACTCAGCAGGCATTTATTTATTGTTGCTATTAAAAATGTCTGGCACTGCAGAAAAAAATAAGGCTTGTGAAAATAATAATACAAAAGACAACAACTAAATGGGAACCTACTATGTGCCAGGATTTTACAAATGTTGTCCGTCTTAAATACAACAACCTGGCAATGAAGAAGTTATTTTACAAATAAATGGAAGCTTAGAGAATTTAACCTTTTTTTTTTCTTTCTCTTTCTTTCTTTTCTTTCTTTTTTTTCCCCCACAATTATATAGAGAGTAAGCTCCTAAGTAAGGGCGTGAGGTCTTACCTATTTGGCTTAACAGACTTTGCTTCCTTGCTTTCTATATGGAGCTGTTGTACCTAAAATGAAGTTGTGGATATATGTAAAACTATATATAAAAAAAATCATGCATGTACAAAAATCATATATATATAACCATATTCATATCTGTATCTAAACAGACACCCACCTATACCTGCCTACCTCTATCAATTTCTGTATCTTCATATCTATATTTCTCTATCTGGGAACTAATGATATATTAGCATAGAAAATAGCTAAAAAATAGAGTATGATATGAATGAGTAAAGTACACTCTGAACTCTGAGTAGAATGTGAAAACTAGTCAAGAAGGAAAATGATAGGACCCATTGTTTGCATTTACGAGGAAAAAAATGTTACTTTGGACTTAGTCTTATTGGAAAAGTAGGGCCATTTGTGAACAGGAGAGAGAATGAAAGGAATAGAACATGTATTTATTGAACACTTAGTATGTTCTAAGCACTGGAAAGACAGCCTGTTTTTTATATTGCATGTAATCACCTTATTATGGCCATTTTACACCTAAGGACAGTTATACTCCAAAGGGATGAAGCAACTAATCAATCCATAACCTGGAGGAGGATTTGAACCAAGGTCTGCAGGACAAACAAATACTATGTGCTTTTCATATCACCAGGAGATAAACAAAACGATACTAAGTAAAAGTTGGCCTGGGACCAATATTCAGATAAATTGGAGGGGGAAAGTGACAGGGAATGAGAGGAATTAAAAAAAATTTTTTTTTAAGTTTATTTATTTTTGAGAGATAGAGCGAGTGGGGGAGGGGCTGAGAGAGAGAGAATCCCAAGCAGTCTCCACACTGTCAGCACAAAGCCCTGTATGGGGCTCGAACTCACAAACCATGAGATCATGACCTGAGCCGAAACCAAGAGTCAGACGCTTAACTGACTGAGCCACCCAGGCGCCCTGGGAATGAGAGGAATTTTTGAGAATTTAGTAAAGTAAATCCAGAGCCAAAAAGAAGAAGCCTTAACTAAGGATATGACACTATGGTTAGACAAAAGAATAACATGATGTTATGTCTTCTGAGCATAAGTGGTGCTTTCTCTGTTAAGTGCTTATAGTTTCCAGAAGTTCAAAAGTCACCTGAGGTCTTTCATTCATTTGATAAGAGAATGTTCATCTAAATTAATCTTTGGAAGTACTTACAAGTGTGTGTAGACTGTTAGATCATTTGGGAGTTCAGAAATGAGCAAAGTTGGTGTGTGAATTTGCTGGATGTCTAATAGAGCAGGCTGACAAAATAGAATGGAACTCAGTGAGATTAGGTTAAGCATTTCTCACCATGCTGAATTATGTTGCTGGTGGAGAGTGGAAGATCCCAGTATTTTTAAATGAGTTCACATGTACTGATTCAGTGGAATTGTGCTGAGTGATCTTGAGAATGCTCAAAAATGAGATTGCTGAGCAATTTTCAGTGATTTAATTGTTAAGGAATTCTGGAGACTAGGAATCAGCAAACTGGAGATAAGCAAATATCACTCAGAGTTTTGAAAAAAGGGAAGAAATATTTTGCAAACTAGAGAGCAGCCAGCTTCATTGATCTCTGGCAGGAATAGAATGATTTGGAGGAAGGTCGTTTCACACTTTTATGAGAGGAAGTGGTGGTTGTTAGGACCCAGTATAAACTCACTAAGATCAAAGCATGTGAGAAGCGTGCATTCCATTTTTGAAGGGCATTGATTTTCTGCAACAACAGACCAATCGGGTGATGTTTCTCTAGCCCTATGATCCATCTAGTTGCATGATTATTTTACATCTGTCCTTAGATCTGCAACATTGCACCTGCATTTCTCACTCTAACTTGATGACCTTACATCTTTGTTCACTGAGAAAATGAAAGATACCAGAGGAAATGTCTATGAACTTCCTCTGCCAGAATGCTGCCTCTTCCTGCATTTGTGCACACACAGTCTGCCTTTCCCCAGCTCAGTACCCCAGTAGGGATGTACTGTCCTGCTCCAATGTAAATTCACCTCCTCCCTTGTGTTCTGCATCCCATTCTTCTCTTGCTTGTTCAGGGCCAGCACACCAGCAATTGCCCCTTCCTTCTCTGATGATATAAGCTTCTTTTCTGTTGACTCATACCCACTAACATATGGGTGTGTTATTCTATTTCCCATCTTAAAAGGCAAATGAAACCAAACACTAACCAAAGAAAACCTTTTGTCTGTGAATCTACTTCCAATGATTATTTCATTTATTCCCTTTAGGCTGGACCTCCTGGAAAGTGTGGCTTGTATTTTGTTTCTGATTCTCCTCTTCCTGTTTTCTGTTCAACCCACTTCTTTTCAAGTTGTGGTAGCTACACTCCAGTGGCACTGCTTTTGTGAGTATTATCAATACTAACAGAGGCTTTGACTTAATTACTTTGGGATGGGGCATGGACTGGTTATGTTTTTGTAAGCTGTCCAGTTGGTTATAGATTCTGGCTGGGACTGAAAACTGGCCCACACCTTCTGAGCAGGGACTAAATCCCTTAGCATGCTCACTCTGTCATAGTGCTGGCTGCCTCTGAGGGCTTGCCTCAGACATCTAGTTGGTTTCTCTCTTTGGCAGTTCTGTAGATAAAAATAGGGTGATTATTTTGAATTATTCTTTGTAAGAGTTATTGCAGAGTCCCTTTAAATAGAAAGCTTGCCATGCATTTTAAAATAAGATTATGATTTACAAAAACTGATTCATTCATGAATTGTATGAAACATAGCTGTTGCATTAGACCAGGTATGTATTTATTTCTCAGTCTTTTGCAGGTGCTTGTAAGCCTTTATAAACTAATAATCAGAAAAAATATGGGACATAAGCAAATCATTATAATAACTTTATTTTGTCTTATGTGAAACATCCTCTTTCGAGCAATTTAAAGTATTTTACATCTTTGTAGGACAATACTTGACATGTTCTATTTCTGAATTGAAATATTTGTGCAGACTACTAAAAATTCATAGATGCCCTTAAGCTGAGGGTTCTTTTGTTTGTGTGCACAAAAACCTTTGAGGAGTTAAGTGTTATGTATTGAAAATGTAATAGTGGGCAAATTTTCTATCTATCAATCTTTGGGTCTGTCATCTACTTGTACAGTGCTTATCACCCTATCATCTATTTGCTACATATTTTCTCAAGATATATGGTTTTTAGTTTTCTCTATATTTACGGCAAATAATGATTTTTGATGTTTATTTATTCTTATTTCCCTTTTGAGAAAGATCAAGATAACTGCACAACAATGGAAAGAATGAGACAAATAGTTGACTTTTCAACATTCCATAAAAACTTTGAAGATCAAATCAGCAGTTCAATAGCCTGAGAAGTTACAGGCAATCACAGGAGTAAGTTGAGATCAGAACTGGTACTAGGCTGGGTTTCTAGGCTCAGGGTGGCCACAAATTAGCCTTGTGACCTTGGAGGAGTCTCTTAACTGTTCCAGACTTCAGTTTCTTCAGCTCTAAAAGGAGTTTAACTTTTAGATTACTTGAGAATACTTGGGATTGTATAAAGCTTTTTATAGCAATACCTGGGAAAACAATAATCTATTCTTTAATAAGGATTTTATTGTTTAATAAAAGAATGGGAGTAAGGTTATATGAGCTGTGAATAAACCCCATTTTAGTGAGTGCTAAAATAAATGAATTTGGCCATTTTTCTTTATGAAAATTGTCAGAGAAATTAGCTCTGTCTTTGAGCACAAACATGAGAGTCAAAAGAACAGTAAATGTAATTTCAATTTCATTCATCTTTTTTCAGAGACGAGAGACAAACTTGGAACTCTTCCAAAAGACCCAAGTAAACAGAGAGGAAGTTTTGGAAGATTGAATCAGAGCCAGAATAAACTAGGATATCTGTTTAAGATGGATATTACAAAAGGAACTGAAAAATGATTCAGGGAGATGTATTTAGATCTGGAATCAGGAAAAGTTGTTTTAATTAAACTTTTTAGAATTAAGATATTAACTTGCATCAGTATTAATTTACATGAGAGACTATTAAGGATATACAGAAAAGGTATTTGACTAATAACACCTTTTTTTCCTCCTTAGTATCAATGCCTATGGTCAATTAAGTGGGAAAAAAATCAAACTAATTTCATGTAGTTGCTAATATAGTATAATAAAATTTGTGTTTTATAAAATTATAGTTGTTTTGGTTTTGCCCTTAAGAATAAATGAAATAGAAACAATTCTACTTTTTTTAAGTTTTCTTTCTTTAAAAAATATTTACTTATTTTGAGAGAGAGAGAGAGAACACACACACATGCACCATTAGCAATGAAAAAGAACGGGGCAGGGGCAGAGAGAGAGATTGAGAGAGAGAGAGAGAGAGAGAGAGAGAATTTCAAGCAGTCTCCATGAACCATGAGATCATGACCTGAGCCAAAATCAAGAGATGGACGCTTAACCAACTGAGCCAACAAGGTGCCCCAATTCTACTTCTTAGTATAATTTTAGAAAATGCAGTACAAGTGCCCCTCTGCATCAGCACTCCTGTATCCCTTGGGTAAATTCCTAGCAGTGCTATTTCTGGGTCATAGGGTAGATCTTTTTTTAAGTTTTTGAGGAACCTCCACACTGTTTTCCAGAGTGGCTGCACCAGTTTGCATTCCCACCAACAGGAAGACCATGAAGGAGGGGAAGGTAAAAAAAAAAAAAAGGTTGGAGAGGGAGAGAGCCAAAGCATAAGAGACTCTTAAAACTGAGAACAAACTGAGGGTTGATGGAGGGTGGGAGGGAGGGGAGGTTAGGTGATGGGTATTGAGGAGGGCACCTTTTGGGATGAGCACTGGGTGTTGTATGGAAACCAATCTGACAATAAATTCCATATTTAAAAAAAAATGCGTAGGTTGTGGCAAAGGCACTGAGGATAATTTTTTTTTAATTTTTTTTAAACGTTTATTCATTTTGAGAGAGACAGAGCATGAGCAGGGAAGGAGCAGAGAGAGAGAGAGGGAGACACAGAATCTGAAACAGGCTCCAGGCTCTGAGCTGTCAGCACAGAGCCTAACGTGGGGCTCGAACTCACAAACTGCGAGATCCTGACCTGAGCTGAAGTCGGACGCTCAACTGACTGAACCACCCAGGGGCCCTGGCACTGAAGATAATTTAAAGGAAAAAGTGATCAATAGGGCCAAAATACTGTTGAATTAAGTCTTGATGTCTGATTTTTAATTGGCACAGCAACAGCAACAACAACAACAAAAATAGATTGGTGAGATTATCCAAGCCATGGCGGAGTTCTGAAAGAGCCATCCTTTACTGTTGTAGTGAAAAGTCATGCTAATTATCTAGGTTGACTTTATTACTTGTTTCTGATTAGATTTGCTTAGAAGTCATTTCATATTAAGAATATGTTTTTTAGGGGCACTTGGGTGGCTCAGTCAGTTAAGCGTCTGACTTCGGCTCTGGTCATGATCTCACGGTCTGTGAGTTCAAGCCCCACGTCAGGCTCTGTGCTGACAGCTCAGAGCCTGGAGCCTGCTTCAGATTCTGGGTCTCCCTCTCTCTCTGCCGCTTCCCTGCTCATGCTCTCTCTCTGTCTCAAAAATAAGTAAAAACTTAAAAAGAAAAGAAGAATATGTTTTTTATCTTGTCTGGTCAGTGGAATAGTAATCTCAATTTTATATGAAGAATTGAGTTGTTACCAATTTTAAGAATTGTGGATGGGTGGAATACTATACTTGAATGAGATCTCAGCTGGTATGTAATCTGATTTAAAAAGAATAAAAAAATTCTTTTGATTGTTAGGAAAATGATAGAAAATATTGAATAAACAAGATCCTAAACAACAACAGGAAACATCGCTCTCTCTCTTTCTCTCTCTTTTTTAATACCTCAGTATGTTAGGGATTATTCTGTAAGAACTGTAGTACTAATGAATAGCACAATATGATTTGAATTCTGGAGTCACTGGAAAGTAACACAACTACTTTCAAATCTGTCAACTATTCTAGGTAGGGAGGCACTAATCAGATAAATTGAAGTAGATGAAAATTATTTTAAGATATTAGAATTGTCACTTTTTAAACATTTATTTAAATTTTTAAGATTTTAGCTAGATTTTATAGTTATTTATAATAATTTTGATAATGTATGTCACAAAAGTTACCTTTAGTGAAATGTAGCCTATTTTATAGAAGCAAATGTGAACCTCATTCATTTATTCAGTAAATATTTACTGAGTGCCTGCTATGGTGAAGTGCTTTATTAATTGTTGAGTATTTTCCTACTCTCTCCAGTCTTATCTTTGCTAAGTGTGAAACATATTTTATTCTCTATTACTCTCCCTCCATTAAGTGTGTTTTGCACATGCATTATAATAAATGCTTTAGGAACTTTTTTTTCAAGATACGTTCTCATTTTTTAACTTGTACTTTGAGCAATATATTGAATCATCAGTTTTGTTTGGGCTTCTCTAGAACTCTGCTTTTTCCATTGACCTCAGCATTGCTCATATGGAAACAGAAATGTGAGGCTCTTCAAGGGTCACCTGGAAGCTTGATTAACCCCTAACTTCTTCCATAATAATGTTAAGAGTTCAGTATCCTGTCCTTTGTGTGTGTATCCAGTAGCAATGAAAAAGAAATAAGATGGAAGTAAGAAATAGTTGGAGAAAACAATGTACACAAATTTGTTTGCCTCATACATATAATATCTGTATATTTGGTATTGTTGTTTTATAATTGTGCACCTAGAAATTAAGGACTAATAAAATCACAAAATTTCCCAGGCTGGACAGGATTGTGGTAAACCCAACCCAATATTGGGTCTCTTTTAGTGCTAAGACTGTAAGTTGAAGGTGCTTAAAACCACAACAGCATTGATATTTGTAGTAACACAGATACAGGTTTGAATCCTGGCTTTACCATTTGCCAGCTCTGTGACCTTAGGCAAGTTACTTAATTTCTGTAATACGCAGAAAAGATTGGTATAATGGATATACTTTCTAACCCATATAATTATTGAGGATTCAATGGAATACTTAAAACAAAATTTTTATCACATTGCTCAATCTGTAGCTGTATAATTTATTCATCAAATTCTGTCTTTGTTGGTATTTATTCATAAATGTCATTATTAAAACTTTTTTGGCACCTTTTATATACCAGAGTCTCTACCATGTGTCAGAGGTATAAGGTCAAACACTGTTGTGGGGCAACAAGAGATAGATTGGTAGTTATGATTGTAAGTACATACACAGGAATTATACTGAATTTGTTGCATGCATATAATTCCATGATTATATGCATGCAATATTTATGCAATATTATATGCATGGAAGGAAAGCATTTCACCTGTGTTTTTAAATTTTTTTAAAAATACCTTTCTTGGTAAACCCATGCAAAACTTTGTTTTATACTATGATACTTACAAAAACAAGATAGCAAAGAGATTAAAAGCAGAGCTCTGAAATTAGACTGCCTTGATTTCTGTTCTGGATTTATCACTCACTAGCTGTATGACCTCAGGCTATTTATTTTTCTTTGTGTCCTTTGCCTCAGCTGAAAAGGGGGGGCAATAATATTAACTGTTTCTTGGGATTCTTATAAGATCTAAATGTTATAATGTACATAAAATTCTCAGAGTAGTTCTTGGCTCATAGTGAGCACTCAGTAAGTGTTGGTTATTCTTAACATTATGCTTCACATACTATTTAAATATAAAGATGTGTGTGTGTGTGTGTGTTAGGGCTTAGAACTATGAAGTGTTGTATCAGGCAAAATAATATCTGTATTCTGTATTCCACACATTTGTCTTTACCAGTTTTAATAATATATCCAATAACTATGTTCAGTAATATTACGTTTAGTCATAGGGATAATATTGTCAGGTATAAATGGCACAATTAAAAACACTACAGGAGCTAAGTTGCTCAGGAAGTTGCAATGCAAATGTTCTTTCCTAAAGCTTTGCAAATGCACGATGAGAAAAAAATGGGGTATCTTATTTTATTCCCTAGTGAGAATCTATCCACATCAAATACACTATATAACACTGCACATGGGCAATCTCTGCTGAGATTCCCTGTCTCATCACACAGGCCTTCTAGAGAAGGAAATTGATAGGTATTGATTTCATTTTGAAAAGAGTCAATCCATTACAAGTCTAAGTTAAAAGTAGAAGCATGTCATGTGACCTAGAGATATTATGAATATATCTAGTTTAAAAGGTACTAATATTGAAGCATACTTGGAGTTGTTTATAAATCACTGTAAAATGAAATTACTCTTACATCCAAAAAATGTTTCAAAATGACATTTATTCAGTTTATTCTAGGACTATGAAATTCATTCATTCATTCATTCATTCACTCATTCATTCATTGAATGAGTATTTAGTAGGTACTCATGATAAATTAAGCAGTCTACTGGGCACCGAGATACAAAGATTGGTTACATTTCCCTGACCTCACAGGCTGACTATCTAGTAGTGGAGGAAAGGAAATGAAAGAACTTTTTCTTTTAATTTTTTTTTAACGTTTATTTATTTTTGAGAGAGAAACACAGACAGACAGAATGCGAGCAAGGGAAGGGCGGAGAGAGAGGGAGATACAGAATCCGAAGCAGGGTCCAGGTTCAGAGCTGTCAGCATAGAGCCTGATGCAGGGCTTGAACTCAGGAACCTTGAGATAATGACCTGAGCTGAAGTCGGACGCTTACTCAACTGAGCCACCCAGGTGCCCCAAGAACTTTTTAATAGTAAGCAGTATGTTAGATTTATATAGAAGAATTCTGAGGATGGACGAGAGGTTTCTAATTAAGAACAGAGCAGGTGTCACCAAAGGCTTCCGAGAGTTGAATCTTGAATGCTGGCCTGAATGAACTGGTGGATGTATGTGTTAGGCAGTGTTGTATATGTGAGTGGTAGGGGAAGACTGGTGTATTCCAGGCAAAGGGAACAGCTTGTGTAAATGGACAAAGGTATGAAAAAGCATGAACTGTTTGGGGAACACAAATGTTCCTGTGGGTGGAGCACAAGGATTGATGAGTTTATGGAGACATTTCCGTGTCCTCTTGCAGGCAGGTAGAAACTGGA